TTTATTGAACCAGATATTGTGCCGGGCACTCTTACGTAAATTAGCCTGAGTGATCGTCACAGAACCCCGGTTAGACAGAAGAGGGCGCCGCAACTCAGCAGTTAGGTGGTGACTTGGCCAAGGTCACAGAACTGGAAGGAGAATGGGGTAAGTAGTCACATTATTAGCTATATTAGAGAGAAGATCCTGAGGGGGCCACGGTGACGTGATGGTGAAGATGGCTGGATCTCACATAGATGACTGAGCCGTTTGAGTCCTGGTTCCGGTGGCTTGAGAAACACTGGGAGCATGTATGTGAGTGCCCAAAATCCAGAAAGGGAAAATGGGGGAGAAGGGATTGTGGCGTGGTCATCCCTCCTGGGGAGTGCTTTCTTACTTTCCCTCCTCCTCTCTGAGGAGTGCATGTGCCCTCTGGCAAGTTAATAAGAAAAAAGAAAAAGACCCCAGGCTGGTTCCAGGGCAGCTAGAGTCTACATGGCCAATTCCATAGTTCAAGTCCTAGACCAAGAAGCTTGAGAAACATTCTGGGTGTGTGTGTGTGTGTGTGTATGTGTGTGCCCAAAATCCCCAAAGGAAGGAGAGAGGGGAGAAGGGATTGCAGTGTGACCATGCTCCCTGCGGGGTGCTTCCTCCTCTCCCTCTTTCTGTGTCTCTGGCATGCATCCTTTAACAAAAACAAATGAACAAAGAAACCATTGGGCGAGCCCATCACCTGGTAGTTAAAGGAGCTGTATCCCACATGACTGACCTGCCATTGGAGCCCCAGACCCGGTGGCTTGAGAAACACACCAGGTACGTGTGTGCACCCCAAATCTCAGCAGGGTGGAAAGATGGAAGAGAAGGAAGTGTAGCATGTCCATGCTCTCAGTATAGGGTGCTTTCTCTGTCTGTGTCCTCTGGAAAATTAAAAAATTAATAAATAGGGCCAGCCAGCTGGTGTAGTGGTGAAGATGGCTGGATCCCACATGGACGACTACACAATTCGAGTCTCAGACCCAGTGGCTCAAACACACGCTCGGCACTTGTGCATGTGTGCCCAAAATCCTAAGAGAGGATTGCAGCGTGACCAGCCCCTATGGGGAGTGATTTCTCACTCCTCCCACCCCTTTTCTCTCTTGGCAAGTGCGTACATACTACAGCAAACTGAAAAGAATGTGGCCTGGGACCAGCAGATGGCATAATGGTGACGTTGCTGGACTCCCACATGGCCCACTGTGGTTTGAGTCCCGGACCTGGCAATTTGAAACTCACGCTGTGCACATGTGCGTGTGTGCCCAAAATCCCAAGAGGCGACTGGAGAAGAAGGAACTGTGGTGTGGTTATCCCCCCAGGAGATGATTTCTTGCTTTCTGACTATGTCTCTCTCTCTCTGGCAAGCGCATGCGCCCTATAGCAAAAATATCTCTCTCTAAAAAAAGTGATCTGCCTCAAGTCCCACGGAATCACTCATCTGAAGAATAATAGTCGCTATCAATAGAGGCCCATGTGTCTATGGGGCCTATCAGACATGTGTTTTTAGTGACTGGGAGGCAGAGGGTAGTGTTGCAAAAGAATCACATGGATCTCAGACAGACGTGGGTTCTGATCCTGGCTCTTCCGGCTGCAGAACTGCCGTAGTTTAAAAAAATAAATGGAGGGACCAACAGTTGACGTAATGGCTATGTCGCTAGACACCCATGTAGCTGACCACGATTCAAGTCCTGGACCCGATGGCTTAAACTCACGCCGGGCACATGTGTGTGCATGCTCAAGATCCTGAGTGGAGAATGGAGGAGAAGGGATTGCGGCGTGACCATCCCCCCTGGGGGGTGATTTCTCATTTTCTGTGTCTCTGTCTTTCTGGTGAGCGCACATACCCTATAGCAAAAATCTCTCAAAAAAAAAAAAAAAGAAAGAAAAATGAAACAAAACAGAGGGGCTGGCAGGTGGTGTGGTGGTTAGGGGCACTTGATACCACATGGCTATCCACGGTTCAAATCCAGAACCTGATGGCTTGTTTTCTTATTCTCCCTCTATCTCTCTCTCTCTCACTCTGTCTCTCTACAAAACAAATGGAGGGATGAGCAGATAGCATAATGGTTACATCACTGGACTTCCACGTAGTCGACCGCAGTTTGAGTCCCAGATCCAGTGAGTTAAAACTCATGCTGGGTGCATGTGCGTGTGTTCCCATGAACCTGAAATGGTAATGGAGGAGAAGCGATTGCTGTGTGGCCATCCCTCCGGGGGTAATTTCTCGCTTTCTGCCTCTCTCTCTCCTGTGAGAGCATGCGCCCTACAGCAAAAAAACTCTCAAAAAAGGAAGAAGGAAGGAAGGAAGAGAAAGAAAAGAAAAGGAAGTCCCACCGTCCAGGAAGAGGAGGTCTTCTGAGGAAACCTGAAAGGGTAATGGAGGAGAAGCGATTGCTGTGTGGCCATCCCTCCGGGGGTAATTTCTCGCTTTCTGCCTCTCTCTCTCCTGTGAGAGCATGCGCCCTACAGCAAAAAAACTCTCAAAAAAGGAAGAAGGAAGGAAGGAAGAGAAAGAAAAGAAAAGGAAGTCCCACCGTCCAGGAAGAGGAGGTCTTCTGAGGAACCCCTCTTGCGGTCTGGGCAGAATAAAGAGAGGAGCTCCTTGAGGGAAGAAACGTATCTTGCCATTACAGACCCGGCGGCTGGAACGGTGTCAGGAACACACACAGTGCTCAATAAAGGTCTGTGGACTTGAACGGGAGATTTGGAAGGAAGGGGACAGAACCTGAGAGAGCCTAGAATCAAGAATCCAGCCTAAAAAGATGGGTCTAAGACCCCAGGCATGAGTGACCCTGGTTCCCTCACTCCAAGCTCTGGGAAATCCTCCAGGGGAACTGGGTGCTGTGGCTTTAAGTGACTTGAACGTCGTCAATGAATCCGCTCTGCTAAAAGAGTTATTCTCTTGCTCCTGTGCTTGGCCTCCCCTCCTCTTAGCTCCCCAAACCCTTCTCGCTGCTGTGATGGGATAATTAGATGCGAGAGCTCAGCACAGATGATGCTCCAGTTGCTTAGCAACTAATGGTTTCCATGGAGACCGCAAAGCACAGCCTCCAGAGCAGCCAGTGAGCAGCTCGTAGGGCAGGGAGAAGACGCAACTCTCTGCTCCTCCAGAAACCTGGGGAGGGCCAGGGTGGGGAAGGTGGGGGGGCTGGAGGGAGAAGGGAGGGCTTAAAGGCATAGGGTCCACATAGCCCTTTAAAATCTGGTCTGAGATCTGCCCTCCTCTCCCCTGCTCTGTCCCACCTATATTTTCAGTTGGGGATAGGGGCTTAAGAGTGGACAGAATGCAACCCAGGTGCAATAAACCCAGCCTCCTCTCCTTTCTGCCTCCGGGTTGAGACTGAACTGGGAACAGATACCTCCCAAGCTCAGTGCAGACATTCTGCACTGGGGGGTGATGAGATGCGAGGAGCACAGGGGTCCCTCGCCCTGGCCTTCCCCCATTTGGTCTGTTCCTTCTCTCCCAAGTTCTCCTTAATGTGCCAAAGACCCTCTTTCCCCCTCTTTCCGTTTGTAGGGTGTGATGGTAGGGTCTGATCTACAGTGGGAGAAAGGTGCAGGAAAGCGCATCTCTACCCAAGACAGTCTGTCCTGGTGTGGAGTCAGGAGAACACCTGCCCCTCATCTCCATCAAAGAGGATAAAGCGCAAGGTTGGGGTGGGGGGTGGGTAGGAGGGAGACACCAATGCCCAGTGATTCCAAGTGTGAGCCTTGGACCAACATCCACCACGATACCTGGAAGCTCATTAGAAATGCAGAATTTAGGGCCAGTCAGGTGGCATGGTGATTAAGGCAGCTGGATCCTATATGGTCAATTGTGCGGTTCAAGTCCTGGACCCGGTGGCTTGGAAAACACGCCAGGCCCAGGTGTGTCCACGCCCTAAACCCCAACACAATGAAGGAGAAGAGATTGTGGTGTGGCCATCCCCCTACCCTGGGGGGTGATTTCTCACTTTTCCTCTCCCTGGCGAGTGCATGCAACCTATAGCAAAAAATTTTAAAAATTGTAAAAATGAAAATGTAGCATTTCAGGCTTCACCTCAGACCCACTAAATCAGAAAGTGCATCTTCACAGGTTTCTGGTGATTGGCGTGCACGTTCCACATGGAGAGCGCTGGCCTGAGTCCCAGCCTCTGCTTGACCAGGCGGGTGGTCTTTACTGCCACCCCCCACTGGCACCCCAGTCTTTGAGCCTCCCCTTCCCACTGCAACCCACTCCTACTTTCCCACCAGGACTCTGGCCTCTCTCTGGGGCTGGGGAAGAGAGCCTGGATGGTGAAGTGAAGAAGCATGGAGTGACGCTCCGTGAGCCCATGGGCCTCCACACACATCCGCAGCCTGCCTGAAGTATTCTACTCTCCCAAGTGACTCCCTGCCTGAGCCTTGGCTTCCACACCTGCAATGGGGAGCCATCTCCTCTGGTGCCCAGGCTGACTGTACGGAAGGTGTAGAGGAGACAGGGCCTGCCAGCACCCACCCTGTCCTCTCCTGCATCTAAGCCCTCTTTCACGTCTCTGAGTAAGCCAGAGTGGGGCAGCAGTGGGAGGCACTGTTTCCTTACCAGGTCTCTCTCTCTTCTTTATACTCGATCAGCTCAACAAACGTTGATTGCCCAGGGCTCGTTGTACCACCCCCAACCTGCAGGCCTGGGTCGGTGTCTGGTGTCCGTCTCTCTGGTCTCTCTGGAAGTTTCCCCGGTCTCCTTTGTCCCTACCCTTCAGAGGCATCTGACACCCTATGCACTTCCTGGCACCCCCTGCCTCTCTCAAGGCAGCTGCACCTGCCACCCTTCCCCCCACCCTGGCACCACCAAGTACTGGCACCCCTGGCTCCGTCTCCCCTCACCCTGACCACTTGCTCACCCAGCCAAGGCCCTTTCCAGGGTGACTGTCTTCCTCCTACATACAGGGCAACCTCAGATTCCGCGGCCCTCGGGGAAGACCCACCACCCAGGCTGCAGCCCACCCGCACACACGGGAAGCATGTGTGTGCTTGCTTCAGCAGCACACACACTAAAATCAGACCGACACAGAGAAGATTAGCATGGCCCCGGTGCAAGGATGACACGCAAATTTGTGAAGCGCTCCATATTTTTAACAAGTATAGTATTCTCAACTGTACTGGTCTGAGAAGTATTTCACGTTGGGTAATTCTCCTTACAAGCCAAATGATGTATAGTGATTGAATGTTAAACAACAACAACAAAAAAAACTTTTTTTTGGCATGACACACGGGAGGTCCAAGAGAAGGGTCAAGTCCCACACCACCCTCAGTGACCCTGACTTCTGCAGCCTGCAAAGCCACCAGGATCCAGCCAGGCCACCCCCTCCTGGCCTGAGGACCAGCTCCCCATCCTGAAAAACCTGCCTGGGGGGTCCCCCCCTGAGGCTGTAGGCCCAAGGGGCAGGTTGGACTGGATTCCCCTGCAGCCCCTCCCACTCCCCAGGACAAAATCAGCCTCTGGGGGGAGGAACTCACTTAGCATGGCCCCGGTGCAAGGATGACACGCAAATTTGTGAAGCGCTCCATATTTTTAACAAGTATAGTATTCTCAACTGTACTGGTCTGAGAAGTATTTCACGTTGGGTAATTCTCCTTACAAGCCAAATGATGTATAGTGATTGAATGTTAAACAACAACAACAAAAAAAACTTTTTTTTGGCATGACACACGGGAGGTCCAAGAGAAGGGTCAAGTCCCACACCACCCTCAGTGACCCTGACTTCTGCAGCCTGCAAAGCCACCAGGATCCAGCCAGGCCACCCCCTCCTGGCCTGAGGACCAGCTCCCCATCCTGAAAAACCTGCCTGGGGGGTCCCCCCCTGAGGCTGTAGGCCCAAGGGGCAGGTTGGACTGGATTCCCCTGCAGCCCCTCCCACTCCCCAGGACAAAATCAGCCTCTGGGGGCAGGACCTCACTTGCCTCAGGAAGCCACAGCCTGCCAGCAGCATCCAGCTCCCAGCCAGCATGGCACCCCCACTGCCCGGCAGGACCTCCCCCAGGATCCTGATTCTGCTGGCTCTCCTGGCCCCAGGGGCTGCAGGTCTCGGCCATCTCTGGTGGGGGTGGAAGGGGCTGAGGGCTGGACGGGGGCTCTGTGCCTTGAGGACTCTGGGAGAGGAGCTGGTCACACCAGTTGGGTGTGGAGGCTGGCCATGGCAGTGACCAGGCGTCAGATGCTGGGCCCAGGGCCCACTCCTGGTCTTCTTCCAGACCCAGGAGGCAGAGAGGTGTGGGCGGGCGGCCAAGCTCAGGGTAGGAGTGAGGCTGGGTGTCCCAGCTCCTGGCATCCTGGCCTGGCCCCGGGGCAGCTTGGTGGAGGAGCAGCTTCTGCAGCCCAAGCCTGCCCCCTGGTGGTCAGACCGGCACAGTCTGACTGTCCTGTCCACGGACTGCCAGGGTGGAGGGGAAACCAACTCTGTTGCTTTAGACATGGCCCCAGCGGGACGGGGCCAGGTCAAGGCCAATGGCCAGGAGGTCTCCATCCCCATTTGAGCTCCTCCTGCTCCCAGCAGCAGACTTCAACATCTCCAGCCTGTCTGGCCTGCTGTCCCCAGTGCTAACAGAGAGCCTGCTAGTCGCCTTGCCCCCCTGTCACCTCACGGGAGGCAACGCCACACTGACGGTCCGGAGAGCCAACGACAGCAAAGGTCTGCTCCTTCCTCCAAGACCTCCCTAAGTCCTCAGAGACCCCTTCTCAGGACTCGCCCAGCACCCCTCCGCCATGCCTGCCTCCCATCAACCCCTCTCCTGGGCCTGAACACTCAGGAGCAAGCTGCCCCTTCTCCCTTCATCTGCCCTCCACCTCCGTCCTTCCCAGTGGTGAAGTCCAGCTTTGAGGTGCCTCCATGCCGCGGCCGCAGGGAGCTGGTGAGTGTGGTGGACAGCGGGGCTGGCTTCACCGTCACACGGCTCAGCGCCTACCAGGTGACAAACCTCGCACCAGGAACCAAATACTAGTAGGTACCTGGTCTGGCCCGGGTGCTCGCAGGAGGAGTAAGCAGAGAAGCTGTGGGAGTGGTGTTGGGATCTGGTCGGCACAGGGGAGTGAGGGCACAGTGGGGGAACAACCGGCCTCTCCTGGGGGAGTGAACATGGGGGCCCCGAGACTCTTGCTGAGGGTTCTGTTCTCTCTCTCCCAAACCCCACCACTAAGCATTTCGTACATGGTGAAGAAGGGGTCAGCCACGGAGTCCAGTAGAGAGGTCCCGATGTCCACGCTTCCTCGTAAGTTACACTGCAGGCTCCCTGTCATTCCCCTGGGTCCCCAAGCCTTCCCTGAGCCCTCCCAGCCCCTGCCCCATACCAGGCAGGCTGGGCTCCCTGTGCCTTGGCCCCTGGGCTCACCCCGCCCTAGCACTGAGGCCTCGTGGAGGCGTGTCCTGTTCCCCTCTGTGGCCTCTGGGCATCTCGGGGCTGGTTCAGAAATGGCTATCTGCTGGACGTTTGGACCCACCCGACGCTTGGTTGGTTGGAGGAACGGACGCCTTTGGATGGGGGATGAGGACTAGGCAGGGAGCCTCGTGCAGCCCAGACCTCCTGCCCACAGAGCTCCCCTCCCCTCTCCAGGAAATAGTGTGGAGTCCATCAGCCTGGGGATGGCCCGCACAGGGGGCATGGTGGTCATCACGGTGCTGCTCTCAGTGGCCATGTTCGTGCTGATCCTGGGCTTCATCATTGCCCTGGCACTGGGGGCCCGGAAGTGAGGGGCCCGCCTGGACAGCGGCTCCTCTGGGGCGTCCAGGGAGGCAGGTCCCTTTCC